TATCTAAAAGGGTGTCATAAGGAGGAGGGAGAAAACTTGTTCACCTTGGCCTCTGAGAATAGAACAAGAAGCAATGGGCTTAAACTGCAGCAAGGGAGGTCTAGGTTGGACATTAGGAAAAAGTTCCTAACTGTCAGGGTGGTTAAACACTGGAATAAATTACCTAGGGAGGTTGTGGAATCTCCATCTCTGGAGATATTTAAGAGTAGGTTAGATAAATGTCTATCAGGGATGGTCTAGACAGTATTTGGTCCTGCCATGTGGGCAGGGGACTGGACTCGATGACCTCTTGAGGTCCCTTCCAGTCCTAGAATCTATGAATCTATGAATGGTCCCTTCTGGTCTAACAATCCATGAATAATATGGTTATGAAATCCACCAATCTGGTGTAGATGGAAGCATTGATCTGATAAAGTCTGACAATTTCTACATTCACCCCAACTCATTTCCAAACATCTCCGACTGTTGGACACACACTGAGACCATCTGTTGGTTTATGCCCACCCGCTCTAAAGTCGTTAAGTGGGAAACGCGATGCTAGGAATTACACAGAAGGAACATCTGATTTCTAAATAGGTTCAGAAAATGGCTTCTGCCTCAAAGCCTGTTCTCACCTGGTTTTCAGAGCTTTGACACAGATCAGTTTGTTCACTCTCTCCACAGCGCCTGCTACCGATGCGACAAGTTTCTCATCTCCCATATACGTGCCATGGCCCCTGCCGAAAAAGAATACATCAAACATCCACACATCCATCTGCCATCCCGACCACCCTGAGGCTGGCCAACCCACATTTTTGCATCCCAGGCTTAGAGCAGTCACAGAGTTATTAGGAAAAGAGTTCCCAAGCTCCCTAGAATTAAAACAGGAAAGTGAAAGGGGGCTATTTCCCCACCAATCTAGGGCTGAGATCTGTCTCTCTCTCTACTCGGTTCCCAGCGAAGAGTCTGTAAAATAAAGACACCTGCAGGTGGTGACACAGCTCAGCCTCCACCCTCATGTGCACTAGTGGTCCAGCTTTAAGTGAGACTGATAAGCCCCTTCCTAACACTGCAGATAGGGAGAGCGACTTGGGGCCAGCTCTAAGCATGAGACGAGCAACAGAGTGGGGGCACTGAGAAATTTACAGCCAGATAAAAAAGACCCACCAGACCTCACCCCACCCCTCACCAGCAAGGTGAGCTGGGGGGGAAACCAAAGCAGGACAAGCAACTGTTCAGGGGTCCCCTGAGTAACCACAATGACTCTTGCTTGCGGACCCAGCCCCCAGGAGAAGCTGTTTTCTGCAACTCGACTCTGGGGGTAGAAGCAGGGGCAGGGAGGAATGAGCAGCCCCCCAAAAAACTTGGGATTGAAGGAGAACTCCTCTGTTAATTCCCAGTAACCCTTGCCCCTGGGATGTTGTGGGGGAAGAGACCCTATCCCCAAACCCTCGGAACAGGGGCAGGGAAGCTGCAGCATAGCCCCATTCTGTGCAGTATAAGGGAGCCTGCCCCATAGCCTTAGCTGCTGGGATGGGGGGAGAGGGAGGGCTGCCACTGGGATGCAGGGGGGCAAAAGGACCCTGCCCCATAACCCACGCCCTGAGGAGGGGGGCTGGGCTGCACCCTAGTCACATGTCTGGAGGAATAAGCCCATGCCCTGGGGGCGTGTGGCGGCGCCATAGCCTCATGTTTGGTGGGATAAGGGACCCTGCCCCATAGCCCATGCGCTGGGGGGAGGGGGGATGTTGCACCACAGCCCCATGCGGGGGATAAGGGACCCTGCCCCACAGCCTCAGTCTCTGAGATGGGGGGAGGGCCCTACCGGTAGAAGAAGAAATCTGGGAGGCCCCTCACCTCATGTAGCCCGTGTCTGTGGTGATCGTGTCCCCGGGAGCCACCAAGTGCTTGTCGCTCCCCTGCGCCAGGCTCTGGACCACCAGCTTGCGGGCCACCGGCAGCCGGATCTCTATTGCCGCCATCTTAAGTCCTGGCAGTTTCCTTCGAAGGCTTCAGTGCCCGTCTGAACCACACGTTCTCTCCGCCATGTCAGTTACTGGCAACCGCGCGCGTGGGAGCTGCCATGTTGGCTTGGGGCGCCGCCATCTTGGATGAGGGCCTGGCGAACCTCAGCAGTGACAAGGCTGCGGGAGGCCATATTGGATCCTGGCAGAGAGGGGGAATGGCCTTCACTGCGTTGGGTTCAAAGGAAGGGATAGGCGTTGGGCCATGTTTAGTGCTGGCAAGCTGTCTAGGGCTCTGGTGCCCTCCAGGAATATGCCCCCCCCAAGACAGGCCACATGTTGGTAATGCCCAGAGACAGTACTTCATCATGAACGCTACACACTGGCCATAGTAACCGTGGGCATTCGGCGTATTCTTCGCCCTCCACATCCTCTTGGGGCCCATGGGCCCTATACGCCTGGCCAGCACTGGCACAGTGGGCAGCCACCCCCCTGCAGAACTGTGGGAAGCAGCAAATCCCTGCTAAACGATGCTGCTGCAGCGGTGTTACCAACTCTCATGATTTTGCCATGAGTCTCATGCGAATTATTGTTTTCCGTAAAGTCCCAGCTCCTGCAAACCAGATCCCAAAGCACTCAACAACTCATTCATGCACAGGCTCCATTTCAGCTATCCCTGAAACTCAGTCTACTCTGGAACACAGCAGCTGTTTAACAGCTCACAGCATTGCTAAATGAGTGTCTGACTCAGTGGTTCTCAACCTATTTATCATTGTGGGCCGCACATGCAGCTCTCCATGTGTTATGTGGGCCGCATCCACTCTCTCTATGTACTACCTGTATGGCCCTGAGGAGGTCACATGGGTTGCAGCTGTGTGCTGATTAGGCCGCAAGCATCCCGTGGGTTGAGCACCACTGGTCTGACTGAAACGGCAAGAATTTACTATCTACACGTAGAAAGGAAAAGAAATGTAATATTAAGAGCTAATTTTTTACAACTAAGAAAAATCAGCTCTTGTCATTTACCTAGTCATACTGTCACTTAGGGATTTAAGAGAGAGATCATACCAAGGTCATCAGCCAATGCTTCCCATTGCATTAAGCCTAAATGCAGCACAGGCTTCCATCTGGTAAGCTAAATGATCTTCTCCACTCGAGTGGATGGTTATATCAGAGAACAGCTGTTATTATTATTAAATATTTGCACTGTGATAGCACCCCAAGGAGCCAATCAGGATAGGGTCGCCATAGAGCCAGGCGCTGTATAAACACATAGCAGAAGAAACTGGTACCTGTTCATAAAAACCAAATCATCATAATCCTTTCTGCCATTCAGCTGCTGTGCTGAATCCCACAGCGTGATTGTCCTCTCACACCACAGTGGTGTTACTCCTGACAGCCCTGGTGTTAGAGAGAAAGCATCAAGTTCACTCATTCCAAAGTGAAGCTAAAGAGAGCTATAGTGCTGTCTTGTATTAGACCTGATCCTGCTACGAGATCCACCAGTGATATCTGCGTGTATCCTAAGCAATCTTCTTGCTAGCGACATGACCATGCTGGACAGGAATTGATTAGGATAGTGGCTGTTGGGGTATCAAAAGCAGGTCTGCCCCAGAACATTTGTATTGCCTAGAACATGGTATGGTACAAACAGGCCCTATTTAGGATTACAGAGCACTAGCAAATCTTGATCTATGATATATGGATGCGTATTTGTCTTTAAAGGCCAGGGGATTCCAGAAGGAGGTGGGGATGGTCCTGTGTATCTCTGTGTTAAGTACTGCAGGAGTTATTTGTAATGAATGAAAATTGGGGTTCAGCGCCCTGTGCTTACATACATATGAACACCATGTGTCTCTGGCTCTGTGTGTGCACCTGTGCGCAAATTGCTTTTCTCCACATTTTAAAACCATCGTCTTTCAAGATGCAAAGATGGTTATTGAAAATAATCCATGAGGATTGAGCAGTAAATTATGCTCTGTCCAAAATGTGTGAAATAGATGCTAGATTTTAAGGCCAGGAGGGACTATTATAATATGACCTCCTGCATAACACAAGCCACAGAATTTCACCTGGTGATTCCTGCTTCAAGCCCATAACTTTGGTTGAACTGGAGCATATCTTTGAGAAAGGCATCCAATCTTGATTTAAAGACTCCAAGCGATGGAGAAAGTACCACTTCCCATGGGAAACTGTTCCTATGGTTGATAATACAGCGGTTGGATCTTTTGTTCACTTCATTCAAACACAAGCTGGGATCCTGAAGACACTAAGGAAGTGAAAAGAAGCAAATTTCAGTGATACCCTCTAGGAGAAGCTCCACTATCCCCTTTCCAAGACCAACATTATGCTTTCCTAGAACACAGAGAGAAAGAAAACTCCCAAACAACTCACCTTCTAAATGATAAATGTTCCAAGTAATTTTTATTTAGAATACAAGAGAGAGAGGTACAAATGTATTTACAGCTGTGTACATATACCATCAAATAATATATAATATCAAAGTTTTGTAAATAATGTTTTACATAAATATTTACAAAGGTAAAGTGACAATTGTTTTCTGGAAGTAAAACACAGTTTGCGAAAACTCTATACATCGTATACTTATAATTAATAATATTATAATAGTTTTTTTATATTTTATTTCACAAAACCCTTCTTATTGGGTTCATAACTGTGGCAGGACTCAAGGGGGCGCTCCGGACTGCATTCTGGGTGTGGTTTGGCCAAAGGAATTATTTCTCTCTGGTCTCCAGAGGGCAGTAGAGGTAAGAGTTTAAATAGACCCTAGAGATATGGATCTGCTGAAGGACCACCGGCCCTACTTTAGAGCTGGAGGAGGAACACCCATGTAGCGTGGGAGGTGGCCTTAGCAAGGTGAGCTGAGTGTGTGTGTGTGGGGGCACTTCTAACTACCCCAGCTTACACACAACCTGGAAAAATGCTTTTGGTGACACCAGGCGACTTGCTTGATTCTCCATTTCCTGAGCGCATGATGGCGCAAATTTTCATCAACAGCCTGTTGCTCAGTTGCCGCTTTGCACGTCCCCTGTCTGCATGGGCAGAAGCTCAGATCCGTGTGCAATTTCAGAGGTCTTACCATGTGCACAGCTTAGACATGGAAAAACTAGGGGTGTGGTTTTTGAACTAATACACTTGAGTCTGGAAACTTACAAAAGATCCTTCCCACTGGTGCTAGCTCTGGCACGGCAGATCAGCCGGGCCTGGGATGTGGTGGACCAGCTGAACTGGCATGGGGACCAGCTGGGGGTCTAGCATGGACTCCAAGCCTAACGGAAATGGTCACAAAAATGGGGCCTGGCCCCATGATTTTTGTCTGTACTTTGATCCCACCAGCACTAACATCAGAATAGGGTTTTGTAAATATCCCCAGTGCAGACACAGCTTTGGGGCCAAAATTACCACTGGTGTAAACAGGCACAGCGGCATTGACTTCAACAGAATGGTGCCGGCTCCCACCAATGGTGAATCTGGCCTTCCAGCTGTGCTAACTTCAATAGCGGGGAAAGCAATTTTTCATCTCTTCCTCCAACTGAATTAAACACAAAAGCCCTTGGAAAATGTTTCACAAATCAGCATTTTGGCTCTTCCCCAGCCCCCACTACTCCATATACCGGTGTCTTCACATTAAGGTTCATGTTATTTTTCATTCTCAGTGTGTTTACCCTCCCAAATGTCTTTATGCCACTCACTGCCTGATGCCAAACACCCGGGACAATGAAGCTTATCACACAGCCTCCGCTATGGTTGGAGCCCTGACACTCCCTGGCCCAGACTGATCAGCAAGGAGAAGATGCACTGAATGGATCACAGGGCTGGGCTCATGTCTTGCACTGGTAAGATAACACCCTAAGCCCCAAGGGAATGGCAATGCTTTAACAGAGGTGCCCCTTCGTCAGCAAACTGTTTAATTAAGAAATCGGCCCTGCCCCGTCCTCACTCCCTTCAGCCCCCCCACCCCTCCCTGAAGGGTTGATGCCAACAAATTCATCAGCATTATCAAATTCATCATGCCAGTCTGTGACAGCTGGAAATGCCTGCCTGGAACCCGGCATCTCGACAGCGGCTCACAGCACCATTGTCGGTATGTGATGCGCCAGGGAGGCAGGGTGGGGCCCGGGCAAGGCTGGGGAGTGAGACTGCAGGGAGGCATTGGGAGGTCGGTGCCTTGCGCTCTTCTGGTGGGCCCGGAGTCCAGCGAGCTGGGAGTAGGCACTTTGGCAGACCTGGCACTTGTAGGGGCGCTCCCCGGTGTGCAGGCGCACGTGGTTGCGGAGTGTAGAGGACTGGCTGAAGCGGCGGTTGCAGAAGCGGCAGACGAAGGGCTTGTCCAGGGTGTGGATGCGCATGTGGGAGCGCAGGTTGCTGCGGGAGTTGAAGCCGCGGTGGCAGATCACGCACCGCATGCGGCCGGCCGTGCTGGCGCCCGTCTCCACCGTGTGGAAGTCCTCTGTGTAATAAAGAGCAACACAAGGAGTCAGCCACGGCCCTCTGCTCCCCAGCCGGAACAGGATCTCAGGGCCTGAGCAATTCATTCCCTTCCTTGTGCCTGTAAGGTGACTTCATGGCACTAGGCATTCTCAAGGTTACGGCACCTTCAATAAAGACAGAGGCACATTGGTGCGTGGTGGCCAGTCAGGACAAGCTCAGTAGCAATGCCCCCGCAGCACATAATGAATCGATGATAAATAACCAGTGTTTCTATAAGCACTGTGCAACTCTGCTGCATCTGCCAGCTAAGGATCTCCAAGCACTTTGCAGGCATCGACCAATTCAACCTCCCAGCCCCCTGGGAGGGAGGTATCACTATTTCAGTTTTATAGACCAGGAAACTGGGCAGGGTGCTTCTCAGTGACTCACTCAAGGGTAGCGTGAGTTGGGGATAAGAGCCAGGTGCCCTATGCCCGAATCACTAGCCTTTCTTCATGGGGTGTGGGGTGTCTGCTGTTTTCTGTCCTTGACACCTGGGCCTTTCCAGAAGAGCTCTTCACCCAGTGCACAGTCAACCTGT